TATGATGTTGTAACACTATCTCAAAGTGAAGTGATCAGATGGTCAAGATGTGCTGCAATAAACAGACTGGTGTGTCTTTATAGGAATAGGTAGGTACAAGACCTCACGAATTGACTCAATTTAAATATGTTGATCCAAGCCAAAGCTTCTTTTTGTACAATATGTACTGATCCTTTTTATTGTGAGAGACTTCCTGGACATTTTCTTCATATAGGATGTACGAATAAATACATATTTGATGTATGTTTATAGTGACATAACAGACGGTTGCTGAAACCTGTAATGGGAAACGCTGCATCCAATACACCGGGAAGTGTTGGATACTAGCTGCAGATGTGCAAAAGATGAAAGTTGCCACTTACCTGAGAGGTAAGTAATCTTCCTTTAAAGGCTGGCTCTAATTTAATTTTCTTGATGTAGGGTCACTTTAAGGGAAGCCTTTGACAACATATGTAGAATATATTTTATATATATATATATATATGCACACACTGTATATATATTGCATTTGTGAGGTCAGGTACTGATGTTGGAGGAGAAGGCCTGGCTCGCAGTCTCCGCTCTAATTTATCCCAAAGGTGTTCTGTCGGGTTGAGGTCAGGACTCTGTGCAGGCCACTCAAGTTCCTCCACCCCAAACTCACTCATCCATGTCTTTATGGACCTTGCTTTGTGAACTGGTGCGCAATCATGTTGGAACAAGGGGCCATCTCACAAAGAAATTGTTCAAAATGTCTTGGTATGCTGATGCCTTAAGAGTTCCCTTCACTGGAACTAAGGGGCCAAGCCCAACCCCTGAAACACAACCCCACACCATAATCCCCCCTCCACCAAACTTTACACTTGGCACAATGCAGTCAGGCAAGTACCATTCTCCTGACAACTGCCAAACCCAAACACGTCCATTGGATTGACAGACAGAGAAGCGTGATTTGTCTCCACTTCTCTACAGTCCAGTGGCGGCGTGCTTTACACCACTGCATCCGACGCTTTGCATTGCCCTTGGTGATGTAAGGCTTCGATGCAGCTGCTCGACCATTGAAACCCATTCCATGAAGCTCCCTACACACTGTTGTGCCAATCTGAAGGCCACACAAAGTTTGGAGGTCTGTAGGTATTGACTCTGCAGACAGTTGGCGACTTCTGCGCACTTCAGCATGCGCTGACCCCGCTCTGTCATTTTACATGGCCTACCACTTTGTGGCTGAGTTGCTGTTGTTTCCAGTTGCTTCCACTTTGTTATAATACCACTAACAGTTGACCGAGGACTATTTAGTAGCAAGGACATTTCACGGATGGACTTATTGCCCAGGTGGTACCACACTTGAATTCACTGAGCTCTTGAGAGCGACCCATTCTTTCCCAAACGTTTGTAGAAGCATCTGCATGACTGGGTGCTTGATTTTATACACCTGTGGCCATGGAGGCGATTGGAACACCTGAATCCAGCGATCTGGAGGGGTGTCCCAATAATACTTTTGACACGTGTGTGTGTGTGTGTGTGTGTGTTTTTACTGTAAAAACAAACCCTGATCTTCACAACTACAAAGTGAAGCAGACATAATGTAGGTGCGACTAAAATATATATATATAGTGCAATATAAATGGGTAAGCCATATTAGTCCAGTAGACAAGACGTAAAAAAATTTCAAAGTGAAGCAGACACAATGTAGGTGCGACTAAAAAAAAAAATATATATATAATTGCTCATAAGAGCTTTCAGGCAAAATAAAAGCATACATAAAGCAGAATTAGTAGCAACAGGAAAAAAACAGCTGATATCTGTTCCTTTAAATATGAGTCCCATAATTCACTGAACATTATTTATTATTTTCCTGCACAATTCCAGTTGCCTCCAGCTGTTGTCTCATTCATCATTTAAATACCTTATTTTTATGTCTTGTAGAATGCCACACATCATCAGGCAGCCACTGATGTTACAATAGTTCATTTAATAACAAGAATTCATTATCAAGATCCAACACTGATATGATGGACTTTCAGTCTTCATCGTGACTGACATGGTTGTGGTTAAAACACTAAAAATAAGTTTTGTGAGAATTGGAGTTTTCAAGCGAAAATTGGTCAATGTGCACACAGGAAGTCTGCCCCATGGCCTTTGCTGAAGTGGATTGATACATGATAATGATATAGAGACATACACTGCCCACAGTGTCACAAATGGACAAGAACAGCTAGCCTGCATCACTATTATTTGGTAATAAAGAATACATTCTAGATAAAACCACAGGAAGTTTATTTTAAAATTATTAAAGCATTTGTTGTCAGAAGAGTCATATGGGCTTATTAAGTATGGGTGGTCAACTAAATGCTTCTCTTAGCCTATGGTACAATAAATAAGGAATAATGTGCCATTTCATGGTAAATCTGTTACAAGCAGGTTTAAACATTCTCGCAGCACCAATTGGGCTTTAGGTGAATCATTCTACTGCTGACTCACAAATCACGAAGAGTTGCCCCTTGGAAACCCCCATACACTACAGTAGCCATTCTCCATCAAGTTTCTTCCAGAGGTTTCTAGGGGTTCCTAATCAGTAGTGAATTGATTTTCCCCTTGACAGTCCCTGCATTTCCAGCTCTTACCACTGACCCCCTTTGTAATTGGGCACTCTTCTCAATGCCCCCTAATGGAAGGAACATTCTTCCAACTGTCCTCTTAACATATAATGTTGCATTATTTCCACTGACCAATAATGTAAAGCAAAAAAATTTGTGAATTTTTCCCACTGACCACCAATCCAAAGGAGCTCTTTTCCCACTGTCCACCAATCCAAAAGGAGCTCTTTTCCCACTGATCACCAATACAAGGGAACCTTTTCTCCACTGTCCACCAATATAAGGATCTCATTCTCCCACTTGCCATAAATGTAAGGAAGCCCTACACTGACCACCAATATAAAGGGGCATAACAATGACCACCAATATAAAGGGGTCTAGCACTAGGCACCAATGTAAGGGGGCACCACACTTGTCACCAAAGTAGGGGACGGGCACTTTGCTACTGAGCACCAGTGTAAATAGGCATTTCTTCACTGACCTCCAATGTAAAGTAACATTTTTCACTACCTGCCTTTCTTTTCTGCCCATTGATTTCATGATTATTACTAAAATGGTGTTAACTCTAGTCCACTCTAAACATATTATACTTGTTACACAACATTCATTAATCTTAAATTATTATTATATTTACAACCTGCTAATCACATCAATGTACTGTGAGATACATATATATTTTGTAGAAGGGGTTCCTGAGATATTAAAATATATTTCAAGGGTTTTTCCAGGGTGAAAAGGTTGAGAAAGGCTGCTTTAGATTTTGCTAAAAATCATTCTGGACAATGCGTGCTTTTTTTCTCGCATACCTTAATTGTGGAAGGCATGAGCTAAATTTTTTGTCAGCTAAGACAGAATTATTGTCCCCAATAAGATGAAGCCAATAGGCGACAGTGGGAAGAGTATACTTAGAAGACATTCAACTGGTTCCAGTTCCTCTAACAGGCAAGCATTGCACAATTGTCGCACCAGTCTGTGCCAGTTGTCATGAATGAATCGGAAAGATTGGTTCCTGTGTGAAGGAGGGCACATTTAAAAAAAAAAAACAGCACACCATGGCTCAATACAAATCATTCCCCAAGAAATATAAAATTAAGAAATCACAGAACAAATATAAAATTATTATTTACAGGAATTTACACAAACTCGCATTGTGAGTATCATAAAACTGAGAACATGATGAGCTGTCATGTGTTTTTGTTGTTGTATAGTGCATACATTGCCATAGATTTAATTGGCTCTGGTTTTATGACGTTCCCATCATAGTTTTTGAGTACAATACACAGGGTAGCATTTCCCAAACATTAACGTTATGTTCTTTGGAAAACATGACCTGTTAATGACAGTGTATGTGTGGCTACTGCGCGCACTTAATTTATTAAAGGCTTCTACTGTCATGTTCAGCAGAGCACTAAAATATTTGAGTTGGTCTACAGTGAACTGTAAATTCGCTCAACAACCTTTTAAATGTACACATCTGGCATAAGTCTAAAATCCATATGTAATCATTGTAAACATGCCATCGCGTTTAAGTGGAACCTCAGGCAATCAGCCAAATACATAATGGGAAACGTTGCCTTTTTTTTTTTACCTTTTCCTGAATCTCTAAGGCCTTGGGTTGATGGCTTTAGTTCAGACTCTTCCAAGATGATTTAGAATTCATTGACAGGTGCATTTTACCTGCAGCTGATCTCCTTCTGACCTGCTTCATGTAGGATTTGCACTCCAATAGACTTGTAGGTTAATCAGATTAATGTGAACAAAAGCCTGCTAACCCAGGCCCTAATTCTATGCATCCAGTCTTGCGAAACACAAGTATCTGCCAAACTGTACATTATTGAAACTCTTGTTTCCTAGTTCAGCTTCCCCGTCACCTCCAGCCTGCATAGTGGATAATAAATTAGCATTAGCACACGTCTGATTCCCTATCCAATGGGCAGGCTGGTGCCACAGGAAGTTATAAAGTCTACAGATTACTCAGTCAACATCCTGTCAACACAATGTGGTCTGCGAATCACAAGACTGGCTGTAAAGAATACCAAATCTACATGCATTTCCATTGTGCACTTGACTGCTTATGTGGATTTTGCTTTAAAAGGCCTTTTTTACATAGTTACCTTAACTCTCTCCACTTAACTGCCTCCGATTGTAACTGTTAATAGCTGCCATGCTATATGGAAGTTTAAGTAAGAACTTAAAAATCAATGCAGATTTTTGTTTTGAAGATTCACTTTGTGAAATATTGAAAGGAAAAGAAAATAAGTTAGATGTTGAAACTGCGCCTAGTAGTGATTTTCATGCTAAATTGTGCAGCGAGTTTCTTAACTGATGTGCTCAGAGGCCTTCTTCCAGCAGGGAAATTCATGCTCATTGCAGTCAGAGTTCATATGTTGTTATAAGCCTGCCTTGCAGCACACATAACTATGTCAGAGACACACAGGTTTATGCTAGCAGCCATCAGTAAGTAACGTCCCAGTGTGTGCTGCCTCTGCTAGAATGGAAAGAGCCTCTTCTTTAAAATATACAGTACGGTTGCCAGAAACAAGGCAAGTGCCAGGAAAATGAGCAACTTGTCCGTCAGCTCCCGGCGGTTATATTTGGTAATGAGTTTACGGCCGAGCTGGATGGTTCCAGACATGGACTTGAATTCTTCATTGGCTTCCTGGACTGTCCTGGATGAGGTGGCTGAAGAGAGAAAGAAAACAATGTGAGAAAATAAAAATAAAAACATTATAAAATCAGAAACGTATAATGGAAACACAATTATTTTAAAAAGCAGCCATTTACTGTACTATAAACAATACCCAAGAAAGATTACTTTTATATAATGTCTAAAAACCCTGGAAATCCCTTGCAGCCAAGCTGAACTTTGCTTTAGAAGTACAGATGAGTGGAACTGCAGCCTCTTGCCAGCCACTGTGTGCAGCACATTGTCCAACTCATGCCATGCCTTTAGGATTGCAGTGGTCAAGGAATGCGAGTCATTTCACATACAATGGGCACTCGTATTAAAGAAACATATTAAAGGTTTCCATTTTGTTTAATATACATTATTCTGAAATGTTACTAGTTTGATAACTGATATTTTATCTCATTTTTAGTATATTTAAATCTTTATTTCACAAACCAACATTTAGTACAGGAAGCAAAACATGATATTTTGTCTAAAAGCCAAGCTTGATTTTCCCACTCCGGGTATGTTTTCTGTCAAACTGTTAAGTAAATGGCATCTTTGCTTGAGGAGTGGAGGTGGTTGGTGTGCTTTCCTCTGAGTCATTTAGGTTTTATTTTCAGCACAGAGGTTATAAGGAAGACAGTTGACAGAACAAAGAACCTGCATAGAGTGCTACCTTTCGTTGCAACTGTTAAATATGAAACATTTCATGTCTGCCTTGTTAACAGTAATATATACAGTATAGGTGTCTGTAAATAACTGAAAAAATAGTACGCTTACTGCATCCCCAATTATGAATGATTAGGAAGTGCTCTACATCACTTCCTGTTCATTCATGATTGAGGACATAGTAACTGATACTATATCCACAATTTATGAATGGACAGGAGCACTCAGTATAGAGCAGTGGTTCTCAAGCTGTAGAACCTCAGGGCCCACATTTGTCCTTGGTCATTAAGTCGTGACCCAAGTCGCACCACACTGGAACGTATGGCATTGCAGTACCGCATGTTCTGGTGGATCAAACTGTGGGCAGGACGTGTGTTTAGGGTACCAGTTAAATGAATTGTAATGCAGCGCATCTCCAGCACTTTCCCCACCAGAATGAACAGTAGGTGGTGTGATTGCATGGTAGTTTGCAATTAAAACAGTGACAGACACATTCTCACACACAAATACACAAAAGATTTAGGGGTTCATGTGGGCTGCTGTGTTGTGACAGAGCTCCATCAATAGGTGCATTGATTGTACTGCTCCCTTGCACTTCCTCATGAGGTTCCGGGAGCCAGAATGTGACATCACTCCAGTCCAGGCACCTCTATAGGACAAGCAAGCTATAGGACAAGCATAAACACACTGAACATAGGGCCCCGACCCACTTTTGAGTCACGACCCACCAGTTGAGAACCACTGGTATAGAGGATTCCTGTTCATTCATAACAGGGGCTGCAGAATAACAGATTTAGGAATCTATTTTTCTATTTCAAAAAGGAAATATCAGGGATCTGTTTAGACTCCTGATATTTCCCCAGAACCCCAAAAGGAAAGTAAAAAAATAAATAAAAACATTAATGAAAATTAAATATTAAAACTTTTTTTTAAAAGTTATAACAAAACAAAATTTGGTTTTGTATTATGATGCACAAGCCTGCATCACTGTACAGCCAGATAGGTCACTGTACTGCTTCCTAATCCCCTCCTGAACTTGACACAATAATACTGTTGGCTCATTATTTACACAAGATGGATGCACAAAGGTGATATAGGAAGATAAATTGCTGAACCAGAACACAAGTGCGTCACCTGCCCAGGTGCACTGTATTGCAGACGGAAATTACAAGAATGGCTGATCAGTACAACAAACATTTGCATTTACCGGTTTGCTGGGATCTCCACTTAAAGTGACACTAAACTCAGGAGTTAAACCTTACAAATACATTCAAGTACCTCAACTATTAACAAAAATGTAGCGTATTTATGTACCACTTAGATGTAGATCTTCAAATCATCTCTGAATTGGTGCTGACACTGTCCTTCCTTCTGGAGGGTGGTTACTCTTGTTCCCCATGGTCCCTGTGTGTGTTGTAAAGTAGCCCCTGCTCCAAGCTTGCGCTTGACGGAATACAATCTCACTTTTAGTTTACAAATTTGTATCGAGATTGTAGTCCATCACGGCCACCCTCCAGAAGGAAGGACAGTGTCAGCACCACAAATAAGATACATTTTTGTTAATAGTTAGGGTACTTGAATGTATTTTTAAGATTTAAAACGGAGAACTATGGGAAGAGTGAAATACACTCATTTTCAGAGACAGAGCCGACATGTGGCACTGCAGCTGCCACACATCGGCTCTATTGATCAATAACTGAGCCATCACAAACTGTCAGTCACCGCTCCCCAAAGGGATTCTCCCCTCTCCATTCCACCAGAGCTTATTGGAGGGACTGACCGGGGAGGGGGCGGGTACAGAGCCAGCTGTCAATGAGGTAGCAGGATGGATCCCGACAATATTGTCTGGATATTTTACAGCTGCAGTGTGGCTCTGCTCTGTAAGCATATAGCAGGCAATAGCCAGGTATATGCTGAGCTTTGGGTCACAAGAGGATAGTAAATGTCCTCCTGTGACCCTAAAGAGAACTACGGCCCAAAAAGGTTTAGCCATAGTTCTTTTTTAACTCCTGAGTTTAGTGTCACTTTAAGTTTAAAGGGTAAAGTTTATCTAAAAGCAGAACCTTTTTTCAGTGTTATAAACAGTGGTGAGGGGTTAGAACCACTGTCAGATTTATATTGCTGTCTGCTAGGAAGATTCACCCTCTGTAATTGTTCTGGTGTCGCGTTTACATGCGTCAAGCGTATAACATTAATGCAGCCTATTGACCGCTGACAGCCGACATTCTGCACATGCGTGGTCCGCCATATAGCTATGCATTGTTGATATATATGGCGGACCACGTATGCGCAGAATGATCTCAACCAGTCATTCATGAATGACTGAAGGCCATTCATTTAATGCATACACCACCGCTGATGAATGCCTCATTTGGAGCCAATATTCTGGCGCTGCTGGCTACACGTTGTTGATATTGACACATCGGCCAGTGGCAGCCAATAGGCTGGAATAAATCTGTAAGCATGTAAATGTTACATGTATTCAGAAAGCAATTTGAGCAGGATCTTGCTCCCATCAAGATCCTGCGCATTATGTAGAGTATTTCCATACGCCAGTGTCCATAAGCCCTATTTCATTTAGCGTGTACTGTAGTATATGTAACACATATATGGCCATACCTAGAGTATGCATAGTTATTTCGCTTTGCTGCACCTGCTGAGCCATCATTCGACTGACACTCATTAGGCTTTCCGTAATGCCGCTTGTGGACTCTGCCAGGTTTTCTTTGGTTACATTCCTGCGAAGCAGAAAAACATAAAATTACTTATTGGTTTCTTGCATGCAACTTTCCATGAGAACAGTAAACACAAAATACTACTAAACATCATGCCCACTAGGGATGCACCGATACCGGTTTTTCGGTATCAAGTACCAATACATTGCTTTCGGTACTCGTCTATACCAAGTACCGATACCGGTGCTTCCGCTGGCGTGGAGACGGCTTCCCGGGCAATCTGACTGCCCGAGAAGCCGGCTCCATGGTGTCTGGCCAGCTTGATTGTGCTTGGCCGGTAAACAGGCTTCCAAGCCAATCAGCATGGAGCTTGCTTCCTGGGCAATCAGGAAGCCGGGAGGCGGGTCATTGCTTGCCGCCCAGCTTCCTGATCGCACTGGAAGCTTGCTCCATGTTCCCCTTCCTCTGGCTGGAAGTTCTGGTATCGAGGAAGGTATCGGAGCATCGGACGAGTACTCGACCAAATACTCAGTATCGGAACTAATAATAGTATTGGTGCATCCCTAATGCCAACTGCATAGTACTATTGTTAAGATTCTTCTGTGCTTAGATGTGCACGTGTCCGCTTGAGATTTCTATCAACTAGGAAAATTTAAATATACACAGTGTGTGAATGTTACAATAATAACTCTGAAGGGTCTATCTGTAAAAAAAAAAAAAACAAAAAACAGGAAAAATTAAGTTTCTTGCAAAAGTGAAAAACCAACCCATAGACACCACCATACACATCAAATTCCTTGATAAAACCTAGGTGGTGACTATGGACAAGCGCCTCACCTATAAGGCAATAGGGCTTCCAGCTTATAGTCCAATTCTAGGGTTGGGAATGCGTGGTGTGAGCAGGTGATATGGAATCCCCTGTGGCATGGTCTAAGCACCAGCCGGTTTTCATCAGAGCTCCCGAAGGTGGAGATGGATTTCAATGCATGCTGGTGCTAGGATGCGAAATGGCAAAGAAGCAAGGCATATTAAACTGCAGGTGAGGCGGGTGACAACCATAGCTGCAAGCTCTGTATAGCAAGGAAGCAAGAGCACATGCTTGCGGAACCACAGGTTCCAGCAGAACTACTGCAGCAAGGAGGTAACAACAAACCACAAGCTTCTGAAGACAACAGCTCTACAGCTGATCTGTGATACCTAGCCAAACGCTTTTTAATTGTTGTCATTAGTTTTGATTAGGCACATTGGCTATCTGATTCTTTGTGTGTGTCCATCCCTGTTTTAGTTAATACGACCATTATAATGTTGAACTCAATAGAAGCCCATAAATTAAAAAGAAAGACCATACCTCTGTCTTGTAGAACTACCGCCATCAAGCAGGTCATCCTTCTCAGAGTTATCAATCGCCAACTTACAAGAAAGATTAGCCTTCCTCCACACACTCTGATTGCTAAAATAAACATATTACATATACCATTAGGCATAAAATCAATACATTGGCTGTTTTTATCCAATAATAATATCATGCATCTACAGCCCTGGCAAATTTGGGTAAGGCAGTATAAAAAAACAATTATAAATGTACAAAATAATCCACAGCAGTTTAAACAAATTTCAGATACAATTTTCTGTTAATGATGGGGGAACAGTGTTCTTCAAGGTCTCTGGAAAAAAAAATTGTGTGACCACATACAAATCCACCGGAGTGCACAACTTCACTCTGGGGTGTTTAGTCCGGAGATGCACTTCCCCACCCCGATAGTGACTAAAAGTGTATTACACTTTCCGTGGAGAGGTCAATATGAGGTGGGGAACGCAAAAGGCGCAATGGAACTATAGGGTGTAAGGACCCTGTGCAACAATGGGAAATGCTTTATTGTACCAAATGATGCCTAAGCTTATAGTAATATGATTCACTTTCACTAAATGTTTGCAATCCCTCTTTGTTCGGGATGCATATTAGATGTGTTTTTGATTACAATTGAAACTGGGGTTGGGCAGATGCCCTGTATTGCCAAGAAAGCTGTTGTACAATGCTGTTGACAAATAAAGAATTTAAAAAAAAAAAAAAAAGGTCTCTGAAAAAAAAGAGGGCAACAAGGCAGCTAAAATCTATTGTTCAGATTATGGCTAGGATATTCCTTTATCATATAAACTATGGGACAAAGGAGATTCCAAACTATTGTTGCCATTTGCTTTCATTCTATAGTTAGTTACCTATGGCAAGTGAACACCTTTCAGTTTAATTCAATTGGTCGGTGTAGGTTACTGCATTTCTATTTTGCCCCTTGACTTACTTAAAAGGCTGCAAGTGTGTTGGCAAATGAAAAAGAAGCAATCATAAAAATATTGCCAAGGCAAGGGAATAACACTGACCCCAACAGATCAGAACACAGAAATGATGTAGACAGTCTGTCAGGCCAGCAAAACACAAAAACTGTAGTGCTAAACAGAGTTATGTGTGTAAACTACAGCATGGTAAGTATAGTAGGGCGAAGCGTCCAAGGCTGGCCACACACCACTAGATTACCTCCCATCAGCATGAACAAGAGAAAAATCAATTGATTCCCTCATTCGCTCTGAAGAACATGAATGGAGGAATCTCCCTAGCCGGCTAATGTATTCGGACAGCCACAGCCTGAATACCAGTGGTTGCATTTGATAGGATGCAGTCCCTGTTCAGCCAACAAGTTTCCACCCAATTTTTAAATCAACTTTTATCATGCTGGGTGGTCAGGACAGGGCCTTCCATGATTCCATTTTTGCCCGTTTCCCGCTGAATTTAGCCATGTGTGGCTAACTTAAAGGGTTAGCTTACATTTTCTCAAAAAATGAAAAGGTGGACTAACTCACAACACTCTGCTTGTGTAACAGTCCTGACACTTGAAAACGTCACTATCCAACCCCAAAGGCTGTACAGCAACATCATGCTTGCAAAGGGGAATGGTCAGCATGGCAATGTGACTGACAGATCAATCAGATTTTTAGGAAACACAACAGCAGCCTCGAAGAGTTTTTCATTGGTCATCGCTGTCTCATGTGGCTGCAGTGACCTATGACTGCTCCACATGGCAAGTATTATGTTGCTATACAGCCTCTGGAGCTGTGCAGTTAGATTTCAATGGGGGGGGGGGGGGTGGGAAATCTACCCAAAGTGATACAGGCAGCCAAAGAAATAAAATGATCCATTCCTTGCTTAACAGGCTTTGTTTCTAGATACAGATACATCTTTAATGTAAAACACACCTGAGCATCTGCTTTTTGTGGCATTCCATCTCTTTCAGTAAGGCTTGCTTGTCTGACTCCTTGTCTTGCTCTTTGGCCATCTGCTCCAGGTCCTTTCAGGAAAGTCATATTAGATACTTTAAAGCTGAACTCCAGTCAGATATAAAAGACAACAATTATTGCAGCTCTGTATTCATTAATACCTCAGTATTGTTTTCCCAATGCAACCAGTGTAAGTAACTAAACTTGATTTGATATCAGCCTCTTGAAATGCTCTGTACAGCAGAAGTCTGATGGTGAGACAGCAATGGGAGCCAATTAGGTGTGCTACATGCAGACAAGGAATATGCTGATCGAATGAGACAGCAGGGACCTCATCCGTCTGTGGCAGAGTGGGCACCACTGTATTTCTTCAACAGTCTATAAAGTGGTGTCAGCCACCTGACTGAGCCGTTTGCTTCCCTGTATAAATTTCGGGACTGGGGGGGACAGGTATACAAATCTTTGGCAGGTAAAACTGGTCCCATATATGTATTTCAACTGTGTATTAGGATATTTGCCCTGCATTCAGCTTTAAACTACAAGTCAACCAGGCTGGAGGGTTTGTGCTAACAATGGCAAAAAACGGGTTACATTAACCTTTTTGCTGCCGCAGACATAAGTACTATGTCCGTGGCAGTATGGCGCTGTAATCACACTTCTGGCTGCTATAGCATTCGGGAGTCAGCTTTCATGTAGCAGTGGTTCTTTACAGCCGCCCAAATTACTTCTACATCTCCTGCCCACCACGTTTCCCGGGCACCGCTGCCCCTCCTGCAGGCCCAGGACAGCTATGGTGGTGTCGGTGGAGAGAGACCAGTGAACACTCACTCGCTGATCTCTTTCTCAGTTGAATGATCATGAAAGTGATGATGATTTAATCACTTCCGGGTTCTGAGCTGTCATTCCCCGGCTGGGGAAGAAGCTGATCGTACATGTGCTGGATCAGCTTCAACGAGCTGCAAAGGTGACACTAAGAGATCTAAAAGGTCACCAGTAATATGCGCTCACATAGGGGACCCCTAGGTAATGGCAAAAAAGATAGCAAAAAAAAAAAAGTTTTACAAAATTAAAATTGAATAAAATAAATAACCCCCCAGCAAAAAAAAATTTAAACCGCACCGCCTCCCACATACACATGATAGAGTGTGAACAATATTTAAATGGTTATTATTCACAGCTAACTCTAATATGATGACCTGTAAAAGCTTTTAAAATGTCGCCTATAAGCAATTGTGTGTACTGTAGTTTTTTTGCCATTTCACAGGCGCACGCAATTTTGAAGTTTGACACTTTTGGTATCCATCACTGCAACCTCATCTTTTATATTTTACCAAAAAATTGGGTAATATGTTGTGTGTAATACACTGTGCTTAAAGCACTACGATTAACTTAACTGTATTTTTACTGAAAATGTGGGTTTGATAAACAGTTGCACTAATATCATGTGACAAACAAAATTGCAACTGCCACTATTTTATTCTTCAGGGTCTTTGCTTTTAGGAAATATATAAATCTGGGTGGGGGGGTCTTAGTAATCTTCAGGCCGAACGTGAGTGGCTCTGGCAGCAAAAGGGTTAAACCACAGGCTTACCAGACTGGGTGTATTCTACCAGCAATGACAATTATCTAGTTATATTAATAGAAATATGCAATTGTATTCTCCCCTTACCTGTATCCTCAGTCTTAAGAGCTGGAACTTGTCTTTCACTTGAGCATTGAGGTCGTTCAGTGCACTGATGGGTCCGATGCATTCCCGGATATCCTGGGAACAGCAGAGTAGATAGATCATACCTTATTTTTTATGGGCAAAATCAAATATTTAGCTTTGCTTCAATTTAAAAGAAAATGCAGTTGTATGAGTATTTATACAATGTGTATAAATAGGACCCTTCTCCTCAGGGTTCCTGAACACTGCGTTCAGATCTGTACAGCGTATAGTTTTCTATAGATCTGAACGTAGCAGTATTGTATATTATGGGTCCATGCACACTGGGTTCAGATCCGTAGAGTGTATAGTTTTCTAAAGATCTGAACGTAGCAGTATTGTATATTATGGGTCCATGTACACTGTGTTCAGATCAATACAGTGTATAGTTTTCTAAAGATCTGAACGTAGCAGTATTGTATATTATGGGTCCATGCACACTGCGTTCAGATCTAAACAGCGTATAGTTTTCTATAGATCTGAACGTAGCAGTATTGTATATTATGGGTCCATGCACACTGCGTTCAGATCTAAACAGCATATAGTTGTCTATAGATCTGAACGGAGCAGTATTGTATATTATGGGTCCATGTACACTGCGTTCAGATCTATACAGCGTATAGTTTTTATAGATCTGTACGTAGCAGTATTGTATATTATGGGTCCATGTACACTGCGTTCAGATCTATACAGTGTATAGTTTTCTATAGATCTGAACAGAGCAGTATTGTATATTATGAGTCCATGTACGCTGCGTTCAGATCTATACAGTGTATAGTTTTCTATAGATCTGACAGATCTTGTGTCACATATGTTCCAAACCTGAACACAGGTCCACCGATCACTGTGCAGAGCTGAGATGTGTGCAGTTACCGTATAAACTTGTTATGCAATAGCAAATTTTTGGTCATTTTTACTTTACTGTCACCTTAAATGAGAAGAAATAATTCTTCCATTGATTTGTGTGATTAGCCGGCAGCCCTCTGCCTTGCACACTGACTCCTCCACTTTCACAGAGCCCGGCCACCTCCCTACCTACCTGGATCAGCGCTTTGATCTCCAGATCATACTTGATGATTTCTTGGTGACAGATTTCTACGTGGACATCCCGAGAAGCCGCCATCTCTCTCCTCTACGGAGTCTGGAGAGGGTCAAATCCCGTCACCTCAGTATCACGCTTGCCTCTACCGCCACCTGCAGGTTACATGGAAGATATACAAGCCAAGCTTCTAGTAGGAGATCATTCAACCATTCAATAATACTACTACCTCATAGCTCTTGCCTGTTCCTCTATCTCACTCGTGTCCCTCTTTCAGGTTTTATACATAAATGCATCATTAGTATTTTTTAAAGACTAGCTCCATGTTTGAACCATTTCTGCACTGAATTTTGCATGGTCACCTTAATTCCAGGTGTCATCCAGTCGGCTAGGTGACAAACTGAGACCCTTTCTTCTTCTTCTTCAGCGTCCACAGTGGTCGGTCTGCAATGCTGCATACAAAGGCACTCACACTTCAGATAGGTAAGCACCATTCTGTACTTTCTGTCAGCCCAGAGTGTGATAATGCTAGGATACGGTTAAGCAAGCTCAGCACGCCAGCTGTTGTGGAACTACAAGGCCCATGATGCATTGCAAGACTGCTAGCCGAAGGCATGACACCCAGAGGCAGAGGCATGACGGATTTGAAGTTTCATCACAGCCAGAGTGCCAAGGTGTACAGGAATTTCTGCTGGCAGAACCCATTAACAGTGACTCCAACTTATTGGCTGCAGTTACTGTTCAGCTGATATTTTCTGGACCAACTCCTTGGATAAAAGTCAGTCAAAAATAAACGGGGGGGGAGAGAGAACTTGACCAAAATTCATCCAGTGCACAGTCAGTTTAAGAGTAGTGTTACAATGTGTATATTGCAAAAAAAATAAAACACACAGGGGTTATTGAATGCCACCATAAGAAAGCTCTATAGGTGTTAAAAAGGATATAAAATTCATGGGTACAGTGTTGCAGGACCGAGTAACTGTCATTCTATCACAGCACTGAAATCGGAAAAAGGGCCTGGTAATAAAGGAGTATTATTATTATTGCATTATAATAATTATTATTACTCAAGTAGCTAAGAAGCTATGTCAAATCACCTATTTGTCATGTTATTATTATCCTGAGCACCAATAGCATTAAAGGAGAACTATAGGGTCAGGGCTTTTCCCCATAGTTCTCCTAAGGGTCTCGGGAGGACACAAACTAGCGTCCTCCCGTCACCCAAAGCTCAATATACCGTGGTATACTGAGATGCCGCCGCCGGGACGGATCCTGACATTACTGTCTGGATCCACCTAGCTGCGTGAGTGACAGCTGGCTCTGCCTATCTAGAGGCAGAGCCAGCTGTTCCCGCCCCTCCCCTGTCCATTCCGCCTGTCAGTGCTGGAGGATCGGACAGGGGAGGGGAGCAATCCCTGCAGTTAGCAGTGAGTGACAGTCACGGCTCTCTGCAGGGAGATGATCAAGAAGTGAGCGAGCGCCGGTATGTGTTCGCTCACTTCCCGATCTACTGAGCCGACCTATGACAGTTTCACTGTCATAGGTCGGCTAGAACTCTGAGGCTGAGTGATTTTCACTCACCTCATCGTTCTCCTTTACGTAAATATGCCTTAGAGTGACATTTTTATAGGTTAAAAATAGGGCTGTGCAAATTAACGATTAATTTCTCGATTAATCGTTAATCTTTCTGATCGATGAAAAATTTTTTGATCGGATAAAACATTTTTGAAGCTTTCTGCACGAGCGCCAGCCAAGGCATTGGCCTATACACATACAGCACAGCAATTAAGTAATAAAATGAACTAGGATCACACTAATCCAGCACGTTATTATTCTGAGTTGCCCCACTCAAGCGGCGGCCATATTGAGTGGGGCACGTGAGATTAATAACGTGCTGGATTAGTGTGATCCTAGTTCATTTTATGACTTCATTGCTGTGCTGTATGTGTATAGGCCAATGTAGTTGGATCTGTATGTGCGTTATAATGAATCAAAATTAAATCGATTAAATCGATTTTAAAAAAATTCGATTAATCGAACATGAAAATTGTAATCATTACCAGCCCTAGTTAAAAAGGTGTTTACACTCATTTTGTGAAATAATAAAATCCCTTTAAAACACGAGTCCATTCAAAAAAATATTGTTTTATTGGTAGATGCTGGAAAGTTATACCAGCTGACAAGGTCTTATATTATTCAGGGACTTTGTTAATGACATGTTTGCACTTAGCCTACTTGGTCAGCAATCCTGCTGTGTCCCTTCTGAGAGGTTCCACTCTCAATGTTGGATTTTTTACATTATGGTAAATACCAAAACACATACTGGTACATGAAAATACCCACTTGCTAAGAATTATGGAAGGGATAAATAAATATCCAAGACATTAGAATTCAGGGGGTGATTTAGCCTATCAGGCCCCACCTATAAAATATGTCTGTGTGGACTACACCTTTAAAGTATTTTCATGGGCAAAATGTTTTGCTTTGGTTTTGGACAGTGTTGGTTAAAACCCCTTTATTTTTTTTGCCGTGTGTGCCCTATTGGAGCGATTTCCCTTCACTTCCTGTTCCAGAGAACCAGCAGGAAGGAAGAGGAAAACGCATCATCAGTTAAGGAAAATTCCCTAGACAGTTGACACCAGAACAAGTGTTCCTATTGGAGGATTTTCCTTTATTTTCTGTTCTGGTGACAACCATAAAGTGTTGCATTCCCATCACTTTCTGCCCCAGTGAAGATCACCAGGACAAATAGAGACATTAATTTGCCCAGCAGTGACACAGGTGTGTTGTTGTTTGAGGCTAAGCTCAACAAAACACTCAAGACAAGGAATCCCATTCATTGCTATGGCCTCTGTCCACACCCAAGTGTTTTGATACAAGCAGAAAAACAGCTGATGTTGGGAAAAGTACGTGAGCTACCTTTTGGCAGCTTACAGTGCTTTTTGGTCCCATAGACTTCAATGGGAGAGGCCTGCAAATGCGTGTTTCAAGCGTTTTTGCTCGTTTTGTCGCACAAACTTTCCTACTGAAGTCTAAGGGACCAAAAAGTGGTGTAATCTGCCAAAAAGTAGCTTGTGTACTTTTTTCAGCAACAGGCGTTTTTCTGCTTGCGAACAGGGGCCATTGGAATGAACAGGATTCCTTGTCTTGAGCATTTTGTCACGCTTACCTTTGGAGTGAAAAAGCACCTAGGTGTGAAGAGGGAGTAGGGGTTAGTTCACACCAGAAATTGCATCACAAATGCGTGCGTCTGCACAGTTGCATTGCGATCCGTTTTCTTTTATTCTGCATACTCTTTAGTACATGGGTGGTATAAAACTATCTAGCTGGGCTGTATATAAAAACATCAAAGTTGCTGAGAAAGAGAACTCACCACATTTTTCTTTTTGCACCCTGTTCAGGCCGGAAAAATCAGGGTATAATTTGGCAGTTATCTCCCTCCACTTTCCCATCTTCTGCCGATTGTTTTTGTAGTTGGGATGCCTAGGATCATAGAGCAGTGGTCAGCCCTCTACATATTTTATGAAGATGTCAGCATCCAGATTGGCCATGGCTCCAATAGCTCTTCTACCTACAAAGAGGAAGTCCCTGGATGATGACACAATCAATCTTGTGGATGTGTTCCGGTGTGTTTGCTAATGTTTTTGATGCGTTTTGATTCGTTCCGGCGCGATCAGATGCAGCTAAAATAGGGCGAGCAGTACTTTTTCTGACTGCACCGGAAAGGACTGCAGTGGTGTGAATACAGCACGAGAAAACCCATAGGAAAGCATTGTGATGTATTTTGGCTGCAGCAGCCAAACTCAACAGACTGCATCACAACTGCATATGGTGTGAACTAACCCTAAGGCCCCATTCACACTGAGCGGAAAATCCAGCAATTTCCGCGGCGATATCGCGCTTTTTTGCTGCGCGATGTCGCGAGAAGTTGCCGGCCAGTGATTTCCAATGGAGCTGTCTTAATGTACAGCTCCATGTCGCCCATCGCTCATCGCGGTCGCAAGTTGCGCCTGCAGGACCCTTTTTCCCGCGGATGTCATGCAGATTTCCTTTTTTTTTTATTAATACAGCCCGACGGTGAAGGTCGCTGGAACGTCGCCCGAACCGTCGCGCTATCCTGCCGCGCAGAAATCTGCTCGAGATAAGTGTCGCTTAGTGTAAATGGGGCCTAAAGGAAACCTGTAATAAGAAAAACATGGGGCTTCTAGTGTTGACCCTTTTGCTTCGGTACTTTCACCGACCTGTAACGTTGTAGCAATGTTACCATCAACCTACCATCCAGAGAATGAGCATTTCAGGAGGTCACCAATGGAAGCCACATATGTCTTTCACCAAGTTTCAGCATGCTTTTCAATTGCAGTGCAACTAAAATTCGCCTTTAGTTTGACTTGGATTTCTGCAATTCCACCACTTTACCTTTGATATATATTGTGAATGCTAACAATCACGTGTCATTGCAACTGCCCAGTCACATAATTATGTATGGTCAAATGTAAAAATATGTGTCGCAACACATCACAATACTGAATGACAAATGATAGAGGGACTATACAGCTGCAATCTCTCTGCTGTACATCAAGCATGATCCCTCTGTGCTATGACTGTTACTTTTGCTTTGTATCAAGCACTCACTCCACACGTTGCATTGACCTTTTTTATGTACAAGAGCAAATTTGTAGACAAATGGAGGGTGTGGGTACCTTCGAGGCCCACCCTGATGTTAGGGAGGAGGCTCTGTGGCCTTTATGGGTTTTCTTTACCTCCCCCCTCTCTCGTCAGGAAAGCCAGCCCCCGCACCCCCGTACTTGGAGCACCACGGACTTCCTTTTTTTTGGGGAAGTTGCATTGACCAGGGACAGTTGGCAATGTTCACACAATGCTGCAACTCTGACTACCATGGGTCCCAACAATCTATTTATGAGTCATGTGGCAGGTTGCATGCCCTTCTACTCAATACAAAAGCCACAACCCGTCACAGACTAGGAGTATTTTCCGTTTCCATGGATCTTGTCTACCTAGAAGTCACCATTGCAACTAAGCCATCGGGATTTGTGTCTATGCAAGCAAATAAAAACAATACACATGATTTGTGAAGAGACA